CGCTTAACCAAGCTGTATATCTTGCATATACACAGAATATAGTTATTGTGCAGCATCCTGGCGGTAAGCCATTTGTTATTTGTGTATATAATCACCACTGTGTAAATATGCTTTACAATAATGGGGGAATTAACCCAAATAGCAGCATTCTAGCAATGTCCCTTACGCGTACAGTTGTGGAAGTGGAAATGTCGACCTACAAGCAGGGTCGTATAAATGATCCCGTTAATGCCGTTCAGATATTACAACGATTTAAAGAGCAGGTCTATCAAATATGCGAGCCTAATCACTCGTTTAATTGATCAATCTTTATATAGAATCAACATATGTGGAAAACGCTAAGTACGTTGAAGACGGAACGCGATTATGAATGGACCAAAAGCGAAAGAACAGCTGCTGATCGACCTATCACTGACATTGTGGAGATTGTTGGTTTTTCTGTTTCATTTGCTTTGTCCTTCCAAATCATTCTTATGTAACTGCAATACTTTTATTTATCTGTCATTGGAATGCAAAAAATTGCGACCTTTAGTGTCTTTTCACCGTATACGCGTTTCCATTTGATCATAATGCTCTCACCTTTCTTGTAGGGTATCTCTGCACCCTTTCTTGCCACTGACTGTGTTGGTGGGCTATTCCGTGAACTGAAGAGGCACTCCTCTGCTGGTTCTATCAAGGTCAGTCTCGGCTTAGGATTCATATCAAATCTTCATTTTCTGGGCTGATCTAATTAACATCCGTTGTATCTGAACAGGTTTTTGTCGCTGTTGATGATGCCAATTCGTTATGGGGAAAAACACTGGTTAAGAAGGCGGACAGAACATATGTGAGTCATACCACATCATTTTGCTTCATTTATGTCAACCTGACGTTTCACTAAGTTTAGGCTTCACCTTCTGAACTAACACTTGTGAACCACTTTCGAAATTTGATCTCTTCGGACTGGGTAAGCGCACAGAGTCATATTGCTGTTTGCAACGCTATCATCATTTCTTTCTGTGATCTTTGAAGGAGAATGGATGTATATTGTTGGTGGCTGATAAGAAAGAAGTTTCGGATGCAAGAGATGAAGTTACTGTACCACGGCACACGCCACTGGAATTATTTGGTGAAGAAGGCTTCTACTTCATCGAGGTTGTTTCTATCTTTTAATCTCATATAAGCTCAATATCATGCTTATGGGATATTTCTAGCCGTTTCTGCCGATCGAAGTAAAACAGTACAGTATGGAGGAGATAAACAACATGTACCAGTATTACCACGATAAGAGGTGGCTCGCCAGCGAGAAAGGTAGTTGTTGTCGAGTAGTTCAAAAAAGTTTATCTAATGCTTTATTGCCTAAAAAAACGGCTCGTGTTGTCTCGACGGTCGCTGTTTTCAAACAAGGGAAATTGTAGTCAGAATTACTTTAGGGTGGTTTTATGAGTTCGGCAGCATACACAGAAGCAAAATCACTCGAGCTGCAGTATCTTTAGAGTGAGCGCTGTGTACGCCATTCTTCCCTCATAGGCCCCGCCAGTCTTCGCTCAAAAGCGCCCG